ATTTCTGATTTCCCCCCTAAACGCGTCTGGGTTCATTGATTTTAACGATTTCGATTTACCCTGCAAATTCATGTAGTTGTTTTTTTCCTGAAAAGTGACATTGATCTCTTATTCTTTTCCAGCCATCCGCCCCTATATCACCACCACCACTCACCCTCTTCGTCCCATTCCTGACCCGACTCCATGCAACCACCGCTTCCCTTTTGAAATTAATGGTTAAATATGCGTGAGAGATTAAAGAAGAAGCCTGATGGGTATTTTTGTTCGTTTCTTGTTTATACTCTTCTTCTCTATTCTTGTTATCATTTTAAACACACCACAACCCAGACACTAGGTTCACCTCTTTCCCTCTGTCAATGGCATGCATATGGTATTGATATGTTATTAATGTACGTGGGTCCTTGATTTCTTTAATTTTAATTGCTTCCCTTATATAAATTCATGGTATAGTTTACTGTATTCGTGATGTGATTCTTGATTGACATAGCTTTTTGTTCTCTTGAAAATTTCAATTTTTTTCTTATATTTAGATTTTTCTTTGTGGTTTGCATAGAACACTGTAAATCCAAAAATTAAGTTATGGAAATTCTGACATTTGAGGCAAAACATTGGGAAGGCATAACAAAAAAGTTTTAGGTTCAAATTGTGCTCTAACTGAAGACAGATCTACAATATAAAAATATTACATCTTTTTAGGGGGAAATTAGTTCATTACTTTATTATTAACAATAGTAATTACAACCTTTTGACCCTGCAAAGCAGATTTTATAAGCGTCGTGGTAATTTCATAAAACAAACTTGGCCTTGACTTTACTTCTGATTTTAAATCCTTTATAGGAAAACAAGTATCTTCTGTCGTTTTCTCATGCATTTTCAATTGGAATTAATGATGTTTAACCAGGGTATATTGTGAATCGCCTATTAAAAGGTCCCCCTTTGCATGAAAATATCATTGGTTCCTCAGATAACTAAGAGGTGGCATACGAGTCTCAAGGAAATATCATTATTGTAAGCTGCAAAAGTCCCAAAATGGTTTTGGTACAGCCAGGATACTTAATCCCAAAAGCTTACATCATTATGTAGTTGTATACTGTTTGTGTTTATTTCTGAGAAAAACTCTATAAATATAAATTTTTGACATTGCATTGCTAAAGGGATTCTAATCATGCAAATGTAACTTGGGCACTTTTCAGATTCAAGATGAAACTGTCAATGGGAAAAAGTATTATTTGGGAATGAATATGTAAACAACCAATTATCTGGGATTGAATATGTAGCTACATTACTGTTTTTTTGTCTCTGGCATTGCTAAAAACTTCAATTACACTTGGGTTTGATTCACTCCCCAAATAGCAAATGGGTTTCCCTGTTCTATAATTTCTATAAATAACGGGTCATGAGATAATTTTGTGTGGATTTTGTTAATTGGATGTCTTTTTATTAATCATGTAGAGATGCTTCATGAGGCAATGTGCACCAAATGAAGATGAGATGAGAAAGATGTGTGAAAAGAGTCTCCACATTTGAGTATAATAGCAAATGAACATATTGAATAAGGTAAAGTTAACTTTCTGTACTTTTGTTCCATTTCAATAAATATTCAAAAGTATATATTGTGATTAGAAATTTGAATTGCAGCCGTTAAAATCAAAGAAACCATGAAACATTAATGTTAGAGACATGAGAGGGCCAACCTGTTCACCCATTCTGATGATAAATATGGATCATTGATATTCATATCATGAACTATGAGTTTGCCACTTTTTTTGACCGGACTTCTGAGAAGCCCTTACAAGATCTCGGTTTCAATAGGCTAATTGAACATATTGGCTACTAATTTATTTTATGTTTGAGCTACCTTTTCAACATTCAGCATAAATAAATATGGACATTGGTTCCTTGACCAACATTGATTATAAATTAATATGGACATTGGTTCCTTGACCAACATTGATTAATCTAATTCTGTACAGAATGTATTTTTGTCTTTTTCACATTACACATGAGGATCATATAAGAGTAAAAATATATGTAATTGCTTCATTGTACTAAACTTTTGAATAATTTATGCTACGGTTTTTGTACTACGCCTTGCTTAAAACTGTGTATCTTTAAATTTGTCAATTTGATCACACTCACAAGGTTCATCATTTGGTGTTTCCTAAAAAAAATCCTATGATTGAAAGGCTAATGTTATAGTTGGTAAGAGTTTAGACGTGCAATGTCTTAATAGTAAAATACTTATACTTCCAATAATTATGTTTTTAGCTTAAATTTTTTTCTATATTTAGAAATACTATACATATGCCATAAAAGTTAGAAAATGAACTACAATTTGTAGCGCATGATCATGTGATACTCAAAAAAAAAAAAACTATAATGCAAGGAATAACATGTTTCACTCTTTATATTTATATCATCATTGTACATTACTTTTTACATGTAATAACAATGAAGTTATAGTTTTTTCTTTTCCTAAAAATACAATGTACTAGCAGTCCTTTACCAATCATAATAATATACTTGTAAATTTACTTATATTTTCATTTCTAATTCAAAAAATTTTACATTGAAAGTCAACCTTGCACAATATAAAATTAGATAATGGTGAAAGAAATACCCAAATTACCATCTACGACCCGTGCTCAGCACGGGCCTAAAAAGTTTCTATAGTATATATATTCACACCACCTCCTTCTGCAGGTGTCGTATATCGATCCATCACATACCTTTGTCATCTTCAAGTCATCATATACGTTTCAACTCAAATGTTGAAGTTGCTCAGTCGAATAGAAGAATTTAGCCGCCATGGATATTAACATCGACTCACCTTCCGTCATGTCGTATCCACGTTACCCTCCGGAAATCTGGAATCACACACTCTTTTCCTTCTCCCGCTTCTCTTCAAGAAAAATTCCGACTAAATCCTCCACACAAAAAAAACCTAATTGGGCTGCTTCGGGTTTCTCTGCAATAAAAACTCGGATTAAATCCTCCATGGGTATCGTCGATTTTTTAAAGACGCCAGGTTCGTCCACAACGCTTCGTTTTGGACTCCTCTATATCCGCCAATGAACAGAACACATATAACCTCTAGCATTAATCTATCGATTCCTTTTTTCCAACTGTTATTCTTCGTCCAGATGTTGATTGGTTAGTGATTCATTGGTCTCCATCTTCCTGCATCAACAATTGTCGGACATTGGAACCTTAATCTTCAGTCATCAACAATTGACAGTTGTCCATTACGATTAAGGTGGGTTTGATTATGTGATTTTTTTTATTAGTTTTTTACTATTTCTTTCTACTTTTGAGTTCCTTTTTCCATCTGATTAGGTTTTGTTTGTTTCACTTCTGCTTCCCTCTCATGCAGTCGATCGTCAATTACACATCACAAATATTCCTTTCTTAAGGTAAGGGAGGAGGGAGTCATTCCCTCCCAACCCACTGAACCCACTGCCACATCACTTTTTCTCTTTTATTTTTCTTCATCTTTTCGAACCCACAACACACGTAAATCCTATCTTTTTGAACCCACTCAACCCACTCAATTAAAAAAAAAATACAAAACAATCAAATGTAAAATCTTAATTAGCAATAGAGTTATCGGCGGTACCACTCCCGCTTCAACGAGTGGGTTGATTGGTTTCACTAACCCACTTCATCACCTCTCTCTACTTTCTCTTTCTTATTTTCTCTTGTACCATGTGTTTTAAAACGTGTACCTTAGTTGTTTTGTATTTTTTTTAATTGAGTGGGTTGAGTGGGTTTAAAAAGATAGGATTTCCGTGTGTTGTGGGTTCGGAAAGATGAAGAAAAATAAAAGAGAAAAATTGATGTGACAGTGGGTTCGGTGGGTTGGGAGGGAACGACTCCCTCCTCCCTAATTAACTGTCATCCTAATTTATTTCAATTATGTCTTTGTAATTTATGTGGTCCTCTTCTTAGTTGTTGTACTTTATTCTTCTTGACATTCACAATAGATAACTTACGAAACAAACAAGAACAATCAGGGAGAGAGGGTGTGGGAGAATGAATGGGAAGCATCACAAGGTATCGTTTTTATTAATATTTTCCATTGCCTTTTGGTCGTCTTCAAATGCCCTTTTTTGTTGTACAACTTAAAATACATGTAAATTATATGTTGCGGAGATGGAATTGTTGAGGCGGTGGTCAACAAACCATTTAGCCATCAAGGTAATTACTTACTTAATTTTATGCTCAATTTGTGATTTTATTGTTAACACTATATAAGTCAATGCTATTTGTTGAAGTGCTCTGTTTCCTTCCCTTTTTATTGCTTAATTGATAACATCATATTAAAATGACAAAACTGCAAAAATGGTTCCTGTGATATGCATTTTTTTGTGGTTTTAGTCCAAACCCCGACTTTTTTTGGCTTCGTGTCCTTTTGGCCATGTTTGTATGTAAATTTGGTCCCTCGTAAAATTGAAATGACTGTAATGCCCTTCTGATATATTTTTTTATGTTTTTTCTATTTAATTTAAATGAAAAAAGAAAATAAATAATTAATTTGGGCCCACATCTCTCTCTCTTTCACAGATGGGAATCTGTTGCTTTTGTTGTTGAATTATCATCTCCTGAACTTTCTTCATGAACTCTTCTTGTTTTGTTCTTCCTCTTTAATTGTTGCAGATTCATGAGTTAATGTGTTCAATTCAAGAAATTTTATAAAAGGTACAAGTGTTGTAACTTATAAGTGAACTTTCTTCATGAACTGGGAGGTAGCCTTGATTGTTCGTCTTTTCCATCTACTGCCTCCAAAACTTGAAGATGATGAATCCGTTTCTTCTGCTTTAACAGAAATTTCATGGCAGAGTTTTTAGATGATGATCAACGAACCTCCCATGGCTGCCATCAAGTGAAGAACACAACCCTATATTTTCTACAGTAAGTAAGAGATCAGATGGGTTGAATGAAGTAGAAGAGAATCGTCTTTCAAGATTGTTGTTTGTCTGATCTTCGAGTTCATCCTCATTTTAATCTGGTAATGTGAGAATATTCTCGAAGGCCTTGACCAAATGCAAAACTCTTCCAGATCCAGGTTTAGGAATGCTCTTTCTTGCTTCATCCAACAATTTCTCCTTTCTCCTCTTATCACCGGACATCTCAAAAACGTAATCTTCTTCGGATTTTCCTTGAAGGCCTACAGGTAAACTCAGATTTTCTTCTTGAACAGAAACTTCACTCCGATTGAAAAACCCTTCCTGAGAAGCCCTAAGAGTCTCATAAGCAACACACACACATTTTTCTAAATTACCACTAGCCTTACACTTACAATCGACTGAAATCGGGGTTTTATCCTTGTCTCTCTTCAAATTCTTCTTCACCACCACAAACTTACTCTCCCGAATCTTGTTCTTGGGAGAAGGCGAAGAGATATGATTAGGTTTCTTCATCACCGATTTCTGGACTTTAGTCGCTGATTTGAGTGATGGGGAATTCAAGGCTTTCAGATTAGGGCTAGTAACGTTAGGGTCTATATTCTCTGGTAGCTTTGACTTGCTGGAATGCTTCGGCTTCGATGGTGTCAGTGGCACTGCTCCGGCGTTCTTGTCGTTCGGTTCCATCGGAAAATCGTCGGAATAAGGAGGAGGTTAGTTGTAGAGAGAGATGACGAGGCTTGTGGGATTCAGTTTATAGGAGAGAGAGAGAGAGAGAGAGAGTATGTGGGCCCCTATTTTTAATTTTTATATATAAATATTTATAGGAAAAAAAAATAAAAATGGAAAATAAATAAAATAAGGGCAATTTAGTCTTTTCAGTTTACCGAAGGACCAAAATCACAAGCAAACTACCTCAAAAGGACCACCAATCCAAAAAAGTCGTGGTTTGGACTACAACCCCAAAAAATTGCATACAACAGGGACAATTTTTGCAATTTTGTCAATATTTAATTGAATAAGATGTGCCCTTAGTTTCTTTCTAGAATCACTCATGCACCTAAAATGTTCAAAATGTTCCTGCCATAATGATAAATAAACTGCTTCAAAAGTAAACCTTCCGTGAATGAGAAATTCTACCTAGTTAGTTAAAAGAATGTAATATTTTTTTTTAACTCTAATCGATTATAAAAATAGGAAAATTAGATTACATAATGGATTACTAGTATCAACCCGACTAACCCAATTGACCCGACCCCATTAATCTGAAACCCGATTGACCCGAACCCGACTAACCCGTAGCTTAATAGGGTCAGGTTTTGGGTGATTTTTTCAAATTAAAAAACCCGACTAACCTGACCCGATTAACCCGAAACCCGATTGGGTTAACCCGATTAACAGCCCTACATGTTGATGTGGTCTCAACAAGTATTAACGATATGCCAACATCAACATCAGTGGGTGAGGTTGAAAAGACCAGCCACATGGATGCTTGTGAAAACAATCCACAGGGTTTTAAAAAACTAAATTTATAGTCTGCTAACATGGATCCCCAATGTATATAAATGCGAATATATCTATATTAAATAGTGTTATCTCTGAATTACCGCTTAATAATGCTTCAATTAGGTACAATCCACAGCGTGCACATTTTATGATATAAGGGACGGTTATAGTGAAAATTTGAAATTAGAGACTAAATTTTACCTAAAAAATAATTAGAAAAAATTATTTTAGTGTTTTATTTAAATATATTATTTACCTACATGTTAAAATGCACATTTAGTCTCTAATTTCAAAATTTCACTCTGACCGTCCCTTATATCATAAAATGTGCACGCTGATGTGTTTTGAGCATAACAAACAATCTTATGTGTGCATGCAACCCTAATAAAGATCTATGTTATCTCTCTAAATGAACATATAATAATGAACAACAACATGCAAACCCTAGATCTATAGATAATAATAAAAAATCATATAATAAGGGTTATGATACATACCTTTAAGATTGTTGTTGTAAACAATCTTGAATTCCTCCTTGAAAACCTTTAGTAGCAAGCGCCACAAGTGCCGCGCCTCTAATGACTCACAAACAAACCCTAGCAACCAAGGAAGACTATAGAGATAGAGGGAAGGAGAGAAGAATTTCGGCCCTAGCCTCTAAGAAAGCATGAGTCATGAATTCTAAACCCTAATGGGTTTATATAGGAGTCTAGGAAGGTGTTGGATAAGACAGGTATCTCCAAGATAACCCTAATCCCTTAACTTCCTCCCTAAGGCATCCAAGGCATCCTTAGTGTAACATCCATAAATTTTACGCCAAATTCAAACTTTTTCAACCATAAATGAAAGTCAAATAGTATTGTTTACAAAATGTTTTCAAATCAATATCCATCAGAGTGTCCCATAATCATAACATAAGGATGAGGAGCGGTACGGTCACGCATTCGCCTTGCCACGATCTCCTGAAGTACCTGAAACAATAAACTGAAAATTGTAAGCCCGAGGGCTTAGTGAGCTACCCCCAAAATACCAATAACACACTGACAATACCATATCAGTAACAATCAATCAATCAATCATGCATACTGGGCCATCGGCCTGACTGGGCTGCCCTACTGGGCCTACAGTCTATCTGAATCTATCCATGCATACTGGGCCATCGGCCTAACTGGACCGCCCTACTGGGCCTACAGTCTATCTGAATCTATCCATGCATACTGGGCCATCGGCCTAACTAGACCGCCCTACTGGGCCTACAGTCTATCTGAATCTATCCCGAGCCTTCGGCATGACTGGTCCGCCTCGTGGCCTGCAGTCTCCCCGGACCGCTCATAAGGTATGTTGGCCAACAGCACAAAGCAGGACCGCCTCAACCCAACCAACAAGCAAATAACCATGTACACATAACTATCATATACTGCATATAAGAGCATCAAACATATCTGTCACACTGATCATCAACCATAGAATCCTCTCGTAACTAGAGTCCGACCTAACAGGTCACTAGCATACCAATCCTTACGGATCATAAAGCATAACACACTATCTATCCTGATTCCGATCTAGCAGATCAAATCCATATGTAGCATACCATAACAACCGATCTAACCGATCTCTAGCATAGCAACCATCCTAAACCAGGATGAAATCTAACATAGCAACCATCCTAAACCAGGATGAAATCTAGCATAACAATAACATAGCAACCATCCTAAACCAGGATGTAAATCATAAAGGGCCGGCCTTGGTGCCGTAGACCCTATTGATATAGCGAGGATAACTCACCTTGCAGATGTCGACTCGAAAGGTAAACTCCAACTCTCGGTTCACTTGACACAGGTTCCACCACCTATAATCATAGTACATTATACTCATAAGTCCTTAACCTTATAAGATATTCCATAACCCACCAGTCAACCCCTGGTCAAAGTCAAAGTCCTCAGTCAAGGTCAACAGTCCATGTTGACCCCAACTCGCCGAGTACCCTCGGCTACTCGCCGAGTTCCTCGAAGCACATACCACTCGCCGAGTCATTGGGGTGACTCGTCGAGTTCCTTCGATTCCGGTTCAAACTCTAAGGCCACCTGTCGAGTTCCCTCCTTGCCACTCGACGGGTACACACACATATATATCCCAGGGAAAACTCATCCGACTCGCCGAGTTGTTCTTCAACTCGTCGAGTCTTATGGTGATCTTCATCGGACTTGCCGAGTTGTTCATCCAACTCGTCGAGTTCACGACCATCTTCATGTAAACTCTCCGAGTCAACCTTGCGACTCGCCGAGTCCATTCAGTCCTTTTTCCATACAGACTTGTTTTGAGCCATGCAGCGGCTCCAAATCACAGATCCAAGCTTCTAGGGCATGCTTTTCACGTAAAGTTGCAAACTTTACGTGCATGCATGACTAATAAGGCTCTTAATGCAAAAACTAAGTTCTTAATGGGGCTTTATGCACAAGGAGGCCCTCATTCTTGCCCAAAATCCGAGCTTTATGACTCTAGAACCCAAGAAGGTTACAGATCTGAAGTTACAACTTCAGATCTAGCTCATATCCCACATTACCATCTCAACCAAACCATAAAAACCCTAGATCTCAACCAAAAGAGGTCTAGAAGGAAAAAGGAGAAAAGGTGACGACTTGATACCTCCAAATGATGCTATTTGAGGTAGATTTCTGATTTCCCACACTTCCTTGCTCCTAGCCTTTTGTTTCCCCAAGCTCCTCTCCTCAAAAGATCTCCTCTCCAAAGCTTTACACACACAAGAATGAACACCACACGAATTAGGGTTTTCTGAGCTCTCAAGGACTGCAAAGAGGCCAAAGGAGGCTTATGTTTCCTTAAATAGGGTGCAAAACCCCGAGATTTAGGGTTTCATCTGCCAGCTCCTACTCGCCGAGTCCCAATATGGACTCGTCGAGTAGGTCACTTAACATGCGATCCCACCCCGCTGCTACTCGATGAGCAGGGGTCAACCGACTCGTTGAGTAGAGCTCCATCCAATGACTCTTATTTAAATGATACCTGAGAATCGGGGCGTTACACTTAGAGCCCAAGGAAACCCTAGAGAGCATCAATAATTCATTCCCCCACCTCTTTAGGGAGGTTCTAGAATTTCCCGATGATCAACTATTGAACATTGTCACCTTTAGTCCTCCTACTTTTAATTAATCCAATTAATCCCAAAATTAATCCAATTAATTTATTATTAATTATTAGTTAAATATTACAATTTCTAATTAATATATTATTCTCATAATATATTAACAAATCATATATTTTGATTTCTAATTAATTTATTAACCAAATAATAAAATTAATAAATCAATCTTCTCTCTCTAAATGTCATCCTATTCAATTGCCAGGTTTGAAGGCAACCCAAAAGGACTGTGTTACTATCAATTCAAGTATATACCAATTATAGTTATGGGCTTAGATACCTAATCCAACAGTCTCCCACTTGGATAAGTCTAATAACTATAATTGCCAGTATAACTACCATATTGATCAGCAAATTGTAACTACCAAAAGCCGTTGTCGAACTCTGACCCAGTCAGTGATGTGTCCTAAGATAAGTGATCAAATATTTCTCTGTTCTACAAGATATCATATAGACATGAGACATGGATTATAATCAATCTATCTGTCCAAGATTTGTTTCCCTATTTTTGATTTATGACGACTGATATTAGACTACTAATTGAACACATCAATTCAGTCCAGGCTTGGCCAAGTGCTTTACATGTCATCATCAAATCATCGAGGGGACCAGAAATACCGTTTTTCCGGTTAGGGAAAAAGGAACAAATAAACTTCGACTTATATGCTTGTACGATTTACTCATCAAATCACACACAACAATACGTTTTGTAACATCAAGTTACTGATGTGTTTACGAATTATCAATGCACAACTGACTCATAAACAACAACTCATATATCTCCGTTTCAAGAATATAAGATATTATCATCTCAAAATTAACCATGAAGTAATTCTCTGAGCGTGAGTTTAATCCAATACTTAAATCCCCATTTCAAAAGTACTCATGAATACTGCAGCAGAACATTGCTACGTCTAACAACTTAGACAATCTATAATATGAGTCATGACAATCTTAATTTACTACTTACTTCCAAAAGTATGATCGACCATGGATGTTTGAATAATCCTATTATTCGGGA